CTTAAAGTTCTGTTTAGTATAATAGTATAGAAGTAATGATTAATGGTTTTATTTAAATAATTAGAAATAAATATTTAATAATTTATTTATTTTAATTAATTATCTAATCACAAAATTTTTTTATTTGTTATTTTTTAAAGATATTATAAATAAATGTAAATATTATCTATAAATTTTTAATTTAAAAAAATTTTAAAAAATAATTATTTTAATATAAAAATTTATAAAAAAAATACTTATAAAATAATACTACTTTTAGTTTTGCCCGGATTAAGCTGCGAGTTCACTAAATTTTATTTAAAAAGGGAAATTTCTTTATTTGAGTAAAAATCAGGGCGTCCTTTTTCTTTTTAAGGGAATAAAATACGCATTAGTTTGCCAAATGCCTCTTTTTTTTTTTAAGGGGGGAGGGGGCGGAAATGGTTAGTTGACATTATTGATAAGTGAACAGGTTTTATTATTATTATTATAATTATTATTCTGCTCTACAGATGCTGGAACAGTCTACATTGACCTTGTTGACTTGTTTTCTAACCTATAATTATTGTTAATAAATATTGTAGATAAATTATTTTAATTTCTTTTCTTTTATCGCCAAATGCCAGACCCAATCGCAAACTGGGTCTATGGCCCAATTGGTTGGCTCCCAAACTTTAGGACTTGGGTGAGGCGGAGGTCAGGACTTCGAGCTCTGCCACCGCCGTGAACTCCACCAACTTGCGACCTAATGGTCGCGCGCCTCAAATGAGAGGGTGGAAGTTTCACTTTCTTAAAAATATTTCAGCTGCTAACAAACTAACTCTACTAATTTCTTAACGGTCAAAAAATATATATATATATATATATGCCAGACCCAATCGATTGCGGGGTCCGTGCTTACATAAAGAGCAATGGTAGGGGCACTAGCTTTTCGCACTCTCCGGCCTACACTTTCCCTTTCATTGGGCCACGTAAGCTTCTTTAGAGCTTTCAGGGCAACTTCTCGAGGACCAAGATAACGTGGCCCAATAAAAGAGAAAGTGTTGAGCGGAGAGTGCGAAAAGCGAGTGCCCCTAGCATTGCTCTTATATAAATAT